CTTGTCAATGGGACATATCTTTACTTTAGTGCTAAGGTTAATTTTTTGTAAAGTTGTGTAATTCTGTGAATATTTCAATGTGCTAAATCTCATTGCTCTTCATTGAGACCTGCTGAGGCCTCAATAGAGCAATGATATCTGAAGACTTGGCTTGAAGTCTGCCAATCATGACTGAAGGAGGTTGTGATGGGGGGCTGTGGGGGACTGTAGTAGACCAGAATGTAGTAGTAGTAGTAGTAGTAGTAGTAATACTAATACTACTAATAATAAATTATTTATATCCCATCCCTCTGCAAAACAATTGAGGCAGCACACAACATTAAAACTTAATAAAGCATACAAACTCTACAATAAAATCACAATCCAAAAGTCCTCCAGACCCACCCAAAAATATTAAATCAATCATAAATGAAAACATATTTAAAATAGGTCTCATAAGCGAGACAATATCCACAATATCAAATTATATCGCGCACTAATAAGCAATAACAGCAGCAGCAGCTACAGTGGAGAGTAAAATAGAAGAGGGTGGACTAACTCCTGGGGCTGGGAAATCTAGTCAGGAAAGGCCTGCTGGAAGAGAGCCATCTTAACAGCCTTTTTAAAACTGCTTAGAGTAGTAATATGATGGATCTCGTCCGGCAGGCCGTTCCATAGTCTGGGAGCGGTTGCTGAGAAGGCACTCTGGGAGGCTGCGGACAGCCTTGTTTTTATTGGCTGCAGCAAATTCCTCCCAGAGGACTGAAGTGTGCAGGGTGGATTATACAGGAGATAGGTTGGACCCAAGCCATTTAGGGCTTTAGTGGTCATAACCAATACCTTATACTGGGTCTGGAAACTAATAGGGAGCCAGTGAAGAGACTTTAATAAAGGTGTTATATGGTCTCTCCTAGATGAACCTGAGACTCTGTCAAAAGACAGAGGCCTGCCTCAATTTTTCAGATAGGGTGGAAAGTTGAGGCAGGCAGCATCTGCACTGAACAAATAAGACAGTTTGACATCACTTTAACTGCCATGGCTCAATGCTATGGAATTCTGGGATTTGTAGTTTTGTGAGACATTTAGCTTTCTCTGACTGAAAAGGCTACAAATCCCAGGAGTAGCATTGAGCCATAGCAGTTAAAGTGGGGTCAAACTGTCTTATTTTTGCAGTGCAGATGGAGCCATAGATACAGTTTGGATGCAGCCACAGATAGGGTTTCAAGTTTGCACTGAGAGGGTGTTGAGCTGATAGAAACAGAGTTGGGGTGCATCAATACTATAGAAATAATGCAGTTTGACAACACTTTAATTGCTGTAGTGCCGTCCTGTGGAAACCTGGGATTTGTAGTTTTGTAAGGTCTTTAGTGCTGGTGCCTCACAAAACAAAATACAAGGATTCTTTAGGGTGGAACTATGGCAGTTAAAGTGGTGTTGAACTGCATTATATCTACAGTGTAGTTGCACCCTTGGATTTGAGGGAAAAGAGAGAACTGCCTATGATATGGGTGACAGATCCCTTTACTCAAGCTGGTCCCCATAATTCCAATCACTAGGTATCCTGCCCTTGTTCCTCCAATTATTTCCTTTTTGGATTGAGTTACAGGGTGACCCCTCAGGGTGACCCCTTATCTATGTGGAGTTGTGTTGCTGAGTGGGTTCTTTAGTCTTGACAGCCAAACAGAGACAGGTTTATGACAACAACAGAAATAGATTAAACACAGCAGAAAATATAATAAACCCTAACATTCTATTCTTTAGGTTCCCCAGTATCATAGGTCATTCTCCGTTCTTCCTCAAATCCCAGTCTCTTTCTTTATCACCTCAACACCCTGTCAGTACCAACGTCAAAGCCTGTTCCAAATTCAAAACTTGTCTGTCTCAAATTCCAACTTTGTCTGTCTGAAATTGGGAGATAGTCTTTCAGAAATGTTTTCATTTCGTTGAATCTGAACAATTTTTGCTTCTCTAACCTTATATTCACTTTTTTTCCATTATCTATACAATGCAATATTAATTAATCTCCAACAAATCTCTCTCATTCTCTCTCTCTCTCTTGCTCATGCATGATAGTGGATTAAAGTGTTTTTGTGACATAACCAACTTTCTACTCTCAACTGCCTTGGCCCAGCATAGAAGAGTCATTAAATAGGTTTTAAAACAGGTTTTCTTGATGATGTCAAATATTTTAAAAGCAAATGGCAGATGTCTTTTCAAGTTTGCTGACTGGATTTTTATCTTGTGGTTTTTGTACTTAATTTATTATAGAACTGATTTTTTTAAAGTAAATTTATGATTTTATAAAGATAAAGAAATCAGACACGATGCAGGATTTTCTTGGTAATCCTTTACACATCAGAGAACCAGCATAGTGTAGTGGTTTGGATGTTGTTATAAGATTCTGGGAGACCAGGGTTCAAATTCCCATTCAGCCATGGAAACCCACTCAGCCTCAGAGGGAGGCAAAAGCAACCTCTCTGAACAAATTCTGTCAAAAAAACCCACCAAAACCCATGATAGTGATGCCTTTGTTGTTGTTGTGTGCCCTTCTGATTTATGGCAACCCTAAGGTGAACCTATCATGGGATTTTCCTGGCAAGTTTCTTCAGAGGGGGTTTGCTATTGCTATCCTGTGAGGCTGAGAGAGTGTGACTTGCCCAAGGTCACCCAGTGGGTTTACATGGCCAAGCTTGGATTTGAATCCTGGTCTCCAGAGTCATAGTCCAATGCTCAAACCTTGCCATAAGTCAGAAATGACTTGAAGGTACAACAACAACAACAACAACAACAAGAATGTCTTCATATCAATTCAAGGTACTGCCAAAAGAAGCAGTTCTCATGCTGTTGTTTGGGGGAGAGGGTTTACAGGGAAATTCAATCATATGTAATTCAAAATATTTCTTTCAAAATAGTATAAGAATGGACATGCAAATAAATACATGCTTTAGCTTCACTATACCAGGTAACTGATATCCAAATGTATAACATACATATAATTCTTAAGAGAATAAGGGTCTTACCATTCATTTAATTAATTTTATGCCATATTTCCTGGATGAGTAACGTTATTATATTGCCTGCATGCAAAGTGTGTGGCTGCTTAGAGGATATTAGACTGTATCAAATGGAACATTCCTATGGCAGTACAGAAGGTGAGGGGCGGGGGAGAAACATTTTATTTGCCCATAAAATTCAATGGCCCCTGGAATGCTCTCATAGGGATCATAGGATTGTAGCTTAAGTGTCTTACAGTCTGTGCATATTTACTCAGAAATAAAATCTCTTCAGTTCAATGAGAGATACTAAGGGCATATAGAATTGTGCTCCAAGTTGCAACCTTATGTGTGCCTACTTTGGTATAAGGCTGAAATAAAATCTACAGTTTATTTTTCTTCTTAATTTTCACCCCTCCCAAATTTCTATTTTCTTTCCCCAGAGATAGGTCTTAAAAGAGCAAATCCATGTCTTCAAAGTGAAGTAGCTTCAGAAAACATTGCTCTTATTCTGCAATGGCTATCTTTATGCTCTTCTCATATCAACATCATATCCTGGTATGTAGAAAGATCTTGTAACACCTTTGGACCTTATCCCACGCTGCTGTAAAAGTGGCAAGAAAGCGATA